ATTCCCTCTCTCGCTGTGTCTCTCTCTGTCAAATAAATAAATAAAATCTTTTAAAAAAACAAAAGCCCGAGCGCCTGGGTGGCTCAGATGGTTAAGCGTCTGCCTTCGGCTCGGGTCATGATCTCAGGGTCCTGGGATCAAGTCCCGCATCGGGCTCCCTGCTCCTTGGGAGCCTGCTTCTCCCTCTGCCTTTCTCTCTCGCTCTGTCTCTCATGAATAAAAAAAAAAAATAAAAAAAAAAGCCCAAATATAAAAAAAACAACAACACACAAATATCAAAGGACATCATCAAGAAGGTGAAAGGACACCCCCAGGTGGGAGAAAATACTTGCAAATCATATGTATAGCAAGGGACCCAGAATATATAAAGAGCTCTTACAATTCAGTAATAGAAGACAAACAACCCAAGTTAAAAATGGGCAAAAGCTTTGAGTAGACATTCTCCCAAAGATATACAAATTGCCTATACGTGCATGAAACGATGCTTGCCAATTTTAGTCATTAGGGAAATGCCCATCAAAACTAGAATGAGAGAGGACGTCCCATCAACTAGGATGGTTATAATCAAAAAGGTAGATAATAACCAGTATTAATGAGAAGGTGGGGAAATCAGAACCCTCGTACACTGCTGGGGAGATGGAAAGTGGTGCTGCTGCTGCAGAAAACAGGTAGTTCCTCAAAAGGTTAAACATAGGGTTGCAGCAATGCCATCTAAAATACATATCCAGGGGGCGTCTGGTGGCTCAGTCGGTTAAGCGTCTGCCTTCTGCTCAGGTCATGATCTCAGGGTCCTGGGGCTGAGCAGGGAGCCCGCTTCTCCCTCTCCCTCTGCCACTCCTCCCTCACATGTCTGTACACCTGTACTCACTGTCTCGAATAAATAAAATCTTTAAAAAAGTAGAATAAAGACATACCTAAGAAGACTGAAAACACATGTCCACCAAAAGACTTGTTCATAAACTTTCATAGCAGCATTATTCATAATGGCCTCAGAGTGGAAATATCCCAAATGTCTATCAATTGATGAATGGATAAACAAAATGTGGTATATCCATATACAGTTGACCCTTGAGCAATGCGGAAGTTGGGGAATCGACCTTCACACGGTCAAAAATCCACGTATAACTTTTGACTCCTGGAAAATCTAGCTACTAATAACCTACCACTGACCTTGACATTAACAGTCAATTAACACGTATTTTGTATATTATGGGGTATTAAAGTAAGCTAGAGAAAAGAAAATCATAAGGAAGAGAAAATACACTTACAGTGATGTACTGTATTTATTGAAAAAATTTGCATATAGCTGGACCCACACAGTTTAAACCCATGTTGTTCAAGGATCAACTCGAATTCAATATTATCTGGCAATAAAAAGGAATGAAGTATTGATATGTGCTATAACATGGATGACCCCTGAGGTGATTAACACACTACTTTGACTACACTGTAAATTAGTGAATTGTACACTTTAAAAGGGTGCACCTTAAGGTTTGTGAATTGTATCTCAATAAAGCTGTTATAAAAATAATACACAGGGGCGCCTGGGTGGCTCAGTCAGTTAAGCATCTGCCTTCAGCTCAGGTCATGATCTCAGGGTCTTTGGAACGAGTCCCACATCGGGCTCCCTGCTCAGTGGGGAGTCTGCTTCTCCCTCTCCCTCTGCCCCGATTCATGCTCTCTCTCACTTGCCCTGTCTCTCTCAAATAAATAAAATCTTAAAAAAAAAAAAACCCCACAAAAACATATAGAAGAAATCTGGAAGGATGCATACTGATTATTAGTTATCTTAAAAAAAAAAGATTTTATTTATTTATTTGAGAGAGAAAGCACAAGCAGGGGGAGTGGCAGGCAGGAGGGGCAGAGGGAGAAGCAGACTTCCTGCTGGGCAGGGAGTCTGACTCTGGGCTGGATCCAGGATCCCAGGATCATGACCTGAGCCGAAGGCAGATGCTTAACCAGCTGAACCACCCATGTGCCCCCTGAATATTAGAGGTTATCTTTCTATGGCCATGTTACAGGTAATTTTTTTTCTTGTTAGTGCTTTGCTGCATTTTCCAGGTAGTCTACGATAGACTCGCATTACTTTGGTAATCATAAAATGGGGACAGGAGGCACAGGTGGAATTTGCCTGCTCCAGCTTTCATTGCGGGAAGAGAAGTGCCTGCAAACCCATCTCCCAGCTGACCTGAATACCACTTGGCCAGAACAGGACAGGGGCATTGGCTGGAGAATTACCTCCTATGCACTGGAAGATGTCAAGATCCCCAAGCCCACCTTTAGCCTCAGGGCTGTGGGCTGGGCCAAGCTGTGGCAGAAGACATTCCCAGCCCCAAGCCCTGGCCACATCTGCTATCTCTCTGCCAGTCCTAATGAGCAGCTTCATGGCATCTGCCAGAGGCAGGGAAGCTGGGGTCACACAGCCCAGATGCTTCTGGCCTGCAGGAATCTATTGGGAAATGAAATCAAACTGCTCAAGTCTCCTTGGCTCAGAGCTACCCTGGGGGCATTTCAAAGCAAATGACCAGATAACACAGAACACCTTTCCCTCGCTCTGAACTTCGGGGATCCTCAAAAAGCACTTTGCACAGGACCCGATCATAGAACCTTACAGCTAGTAAGACCTGAAGTCTGGGGGCTCCCACCTCTTTTCTGAAGTAACACATGCAGGGAATGGGGGAAGGGAGAGCACATTTAGCATGTACCCCGTGTTCCCCCAGGTGTTAGATTGAGCACTCTTATTATAGGGATAATCTGGAATGTTCTCTGGTTTATTTTTTTAACCTTTTATTTTGATTAATTTATTATTATTTTTTAAGATTTTATTTATTTATTCAACAGAGAGAGAGACACAGTGAGAGAGGGAACACAAGCGGGGGGAGTGGGAGAGGGAGAAGCAGGCTTCCTGCAGAGCAGGGAGCCCGATGCGGGGCTCCATCCCAGGACCCTGGGATCATGACCTGAGCCAAGAGCAGACACTTAACGGCTGAGCCACCCAGGAGCCCCTAGATTAATTTATTATTTTTGAAAAGTAAATCATTCTTAGAATTCAGTGACATTTAAAAAAGGGGGTGTTTTAGAAGAAAACGACTCAAAACATGTGACAGATACAGCGTATAGATGTTGTTTGGATTCTGATTCAAACAAACCAAGTGCAAGAAGATATCTTTGAGGCAATCAGAAATTTCAACATGGAATGGGCATTAGGTGATATTGACTATCACCATGGGGAATACTCTTTTTCATGCATTTCTGTACCTATCTCCCCTTATTAGACTAGAAGCAGGATTTTTTTAAAAAGATTTTTTTTATTTATTTATTTGACAGAGAGAGAGAGAGCGAGCCAGCAAGCACAAGTGGGGGAAACAGCAGAGGGAGCAGGAGCAGGGTCCCTGCTGAACAAGGAGCCCAATGTGGGGCTCAATCCCAGGACCCTGGGATCATGACCCCAGCCAAAGGCAGCCAATTAACCAACTGAGCCACCCAGACGCTCCTAGAAGGAGGATTCTGTCTCATGACAGGGAGTAGGGATGGCACAGTGGCTAATAAACCCCATTTGATCATTTACTGTGTGATCTTGGGCAAGTTATTTAACCTCTCTGTGCCTATTGTTGTTTAATCTATAAAATGGGGGAAATTCGCCTGGCTGGCTCCGCCCTTGGAACATGCGACTCTTGATCTCAGCAAGCCCCACGGTGGGCCTGAGCTTACCTTAAAAAAATGAAAATAAGGGGCACCTGGGTGGCTCAGTCGTTAAGCATCTGCCTTCGGCTCAGGTCATGATCCCAGGGTCCTGGGATCGAGCCCCGCGGTGGGCTCCCCGCTCACCGGGGAGCCTGCTTCTCCCTCTCCCACTCCCCCCCTGCTTGTGTTCCCTCTCTCGCTGTCTCTCTCTCTGTGTCAAATATATAAATAAAATCTTTTAAAAATAAATAAATAAAACAATAAAAATAAAAATAAAACAGGGGAAGTAATATAACGCAAGTCAGGGCTGATTTGAAGATTCAATGAGTTACTATTGCTAAAGCACTTAGAACAATGTCATTTAGCACATTTGTACGCGTTCAGAAATCCCCCAACTCCTGGGTTACAACTATATTCTATGGATCCAAGCGAAAGCCTCTTCATAAGGAACACTCAAGCACAACAGAGGCGACCGGTTCAGGTGACCTTGCACCCTAGCAATGGAATGTGGCAAGTCCGGGCCGGGGCAGAACACGGTCACGCAAAGCAGCCGCGAAACATGCCTGGAAGACTGGCTTCTGAGGCCGGCCTGGGTTCAAATTCTGCCCGGACCCCAGTGAGGTGCGTGAGTGTGCGCAAGGCGCCCCTAACGTCTTGGGGCTTCAGCTGGCTGCTTTGTAAAGGAGGCAATCACAGCGCCTCCCACACGGGCTGGAGAGGAGCACCCTGGACCATATAACCCCTAGCACAGCCAACGCGCAAGGAGCCACACACACTCCTCCCCTTAGCTCGGGCACTTGGCACACTCACTCCCTCTCGGCCCCAGGGCAGCCAAGTCCTTTCTGCTCTTTAGGCCTCAGTTTTCCCACCCTCATGCCTCCGGTTCAAGAGGGGGGCAGAAAAGAGGGTTAATTTGTACCGGGGCACCTATGCTGAGGCCAAGGGAGGTCTTTATTATTGCCCAAGATCCAGCAGCCGAAACAGGGGCCGCCAGACTCCCCTTCGGCTGCACAGGCTTCTAAATTCACTCACCAAGCTGCCTTTCCTCAAGAGTTCCGCGGCGGGAAGCTTTCTAGATTAATACCATGCCCTTGGAAGCTCACGTGTCAAGGGTTTAGGGATCCCCAGCAGTGACCCCGCGTGAGCTGAAGCCGCACGAAGACACTTTCGAACCCGCGCCTGGGGCTACAAGGTCCTTTCCCTGGGCTGGTAGAACCACCACCCTCAGCCCTTCTCCCCAGACCCGACTCCCCGGCCACAAGCTCCATGCCCCTGACTGGGGGCATCCTGTGCGGAGAGAGGACCAACGAACGTACCCCGAAGCCGGCGTCCCTGCCCGAGCTGGCGCGGCGCGGAGGCGGACACCACTCTCCCGAGGCTCAGCGGAGGCTCCTCGACGTGTCCAGTCCAAGTTCCAGTCCGCAGCCGGCCGTGTCTTCGCTGGGAGAGTCCGCAGGGGCTGACGTGCTCCGTAGGCTCCCAAGGCTAGTAAGGGGCGCCCCGTGACACCGGGGAGAAGGCTCTGAGAGGCACGCGCGGACCCGCAGATCCCAAGGTAGTTGGAGGCACCTGGAGACCTAAGGCGGAGGGAACCTGGAAACGGGGCAGGAGTGTCCTGGAAAAGGAGAGGCGTCTTGAGAACGGGATGATTGTGTGCGGGGCGCAGTCGTGGGGCAGCGGCCAGACACAGACTCGGGCACTCCTGCCCCGCAGCCTCACCCGGCCGGGCGCCGCGCCCCCGCGCCCCCGCGCCCCCGCGCCCGAGCGCGCGAGCCCTGCTCTGCCCGAGCCGCTGCTCCGCGCGCCGCGGGCCGGGGAAGAGCGCACACAATGAGGCGCTTTCAGACGTGGCTGCCGTCCCGGAGCCGGCGGGCGGGGGCCGGGGCGGGAAGGACGGAAGGAAGGAGCCGCTTGGCCCCCGGCTCTCGCTACCCTCCCCACCTCGGGGGAGGGGCGGCCGCCCAGGGGCGGGCACGGGAGGACCGGGTGGGGGCGGGCCCACTTGGGCCCGGGGGCCGCGGGAGGCTGTCGGAGGGCGCTCGCACTCACCTCTCCTCCGACTAATTCACCAAAAAAGCTGCCTCCCGCTCGGTTCCCAGAGAAGGAAGCCTCCCGGGAGCACTAAGGGCCCTTGCGAGGGAAATCGAATCTTAACATTGCCCCTCCTCGCTCTCGGTGGCATCCTCACAGCGGAGTGACTTGGAATCCAAGCCGCTTGCCAAGCCCCCAGCCTCAGACCCAAGCCGAATGCAAGGCATGTTGATGCCAGGCGGACACACGGCGCGGCCTCCCCAAGCAGTAGCCGAGCTGGGCGCGGGGAGGGGGGCGCGAGACACCAGGAGCCCAAACACTCAGGGGCTGGGCCCAGAGCAGGCTGTCCCCCTCCCTGTTCTAGCCTCAATCCAGAGGCCCAGGCTTGATAGCAGGTCCGGATAAATACAGGGTATGTTTCAGTAAGTAAAGCAGCCCGCCCCCCTCCCCCACCCAGATAACAACAGAGTGCAGGTATCTGAAAAAAAGAGAATTCTGATCTCTTGTAATCCGTGGTGGGATCTAAAAGAAGTCTCTGCTTCTGGGAGTATAAATTAGTGCATTCTTTCCAGGATGCGGTTTGGCAAGATGAATTTAAATCCTTAAGAACAGCCATAAGCTGGGCGCCTGGGTGGCTCAGTCGTTAAGCGGCTGCCTTCGGCTCAGGTCATGGTCCCAGGGTCCTGGGATCGAGTCCCGCATCGAGTCCCGCATCGAGTCCCGCATCGAGTCCCGCATCGAGTCCCGCATCGAGTCCCGCATCGAGTCCCGCATCGAGTCCCGCATCGGGCTCCCTGCTCGGTGGGGAGTCTGCCTCTCCCTCTGCCTCTGCTTGTGTGCTCTCTCTCTCCTTCTTGTCAGATAAATAAATAAAATATTAAAAAAAAAAAGAACAGCCATAAGCTTTTTTTTTTTTTTAAGATTTTATTTATTTATTTGAGAGAGAGAGTGAGAGAGAGAGAGAACACAAGAGGGAGGAGCGGGAGAGGGAGAAGCAGACTCCCCACCGAGCAGGTAGCCCGATATGGGACTCGATCCCTGGAGTCCAGCATCATGACATGAGCCGAAGGCAGTCGCTCAACCAACTAAGCCACCCAGGCGCCCCAGCCATAAGCTTTTTGAATTAGCAATTCCTGGGCGCCTGGGTGGCTCAGTTGGTTAAGCGACTGCCTTCAGCTCGGGTCATGATCCTGGAGTCCTGGGATCGAGTCCCACATCGGGCTCCCTGCTCGGCGGGGAGTCTGCTTCTCCCTCTGACCCTCCCCCCCCATGCTCTCTCTCAGTCTCTCTCTCAAATAAATAAATAAAATCTTAAAAAAAAAATGAATTAGCAATTCCTTTCTAGGATTGATTGATTGACTGGTTGATTGATTGATTGATTTTAAGTAGGCTCCACACCCAGCATGGAGTCGAACACGGGTCTTGAACTTACCACCGGGAGATCAAGACCCTGAGATCAAGACCTGAGCTGAGATCAAGAGTCAGATGCTTAACTGAGTGAGCCACCCAGGCGCCCCTCTAGGATGTATCTTAAGGAAATAACTGGCAATAAGGATTTGTTTTTTTAAAATATTTTATTTAGGGCGCCTGGGTGGCTCAGTTGGTTAAGCGACTGCCTTCAGCTCAGGTCATGATCCTGGAGTCCCTGGATCAAGTCCTACATCGGGCTCCCTGCTCGGCGGGGAGTCTGCTTCTCCCTCTGACCCTCCCCCCTCTCATGTGCTTGCTCTCTCTCATTCTCTCTCTCTCAAATAAATAAATAAATAAATATTAAAAAAAACAAAATAAAATATTTTATTTATTTATTTGACAGAGGGACACAGCGAGAGAGGGAACACAAGCAGGGGGAGTGGGAGAGGGAGAAGCAGGCTTCCCGCTGAGCAGGGAGCACCATGCGGGGCTCCATCCCAGGACTCTGGGATCATGACCTCAGCCGAAGGCAGATGCTTAACGACTGAGCCACCCAGGTGCTCCAGCAATAAGGATTTATACACAAAGTTCATAAAAGTGTTGTTTATGATAGTGAAAAAAATAGAAACAGTACAAAAGACTAAGAAAGACTTGTACCAGAATGCCAATAGGACATTTAGGGACAACTTATTTTCTTTAGGTTACAGTATTTATATATTTTCCCCAATAGGCATTTAGAATTTATCTGGTCAGAAAGAACAAGACATCTTAAAGAGCATGAACATGATGGGGCGCCTAGGTGGTTCAATCAGTTGAGTGTCTGCCTTCAGCTCAGGTCATGATCCTGGGGTCCTGGGGTAGAGCCCTGGGGTGGGCTCCCTGCTCAGTGGGGAGTCTACTTCTCCCTCTCCCTCTGACCCTTCCCTCCCTCTGTGCTCTCTCAAATGAATAAATAAAAAATCTTTAAAAAAAACCTAAAAAGCATGAATATGAGGAGAAAGAAAGAAGACAGAGAATTGCTTTTTAGTTGATGGGACCTAAGCAGGGTCTTAGGGGCCCTGATTCACACAGAAACTGGATAATCATTTCACAGAATTAGAGATCTCCCCCATCCCAAATATTGCATAATTGTCTCAAACCCTGACTTAGCTATGAGTTTACAGCTCAGTTGATAAAATCCTGTGCATTTCTCACCCTTTTCCCTCTTGCCACTATACTGTGCCATTCAGGTTCAGAAGCTACCAACATCTGATCTGTAAATAATTTGATATTTGCCAGACACAGTTGTAATTTTCCAGCCTGTGGTTTCCACATGCCATGTGGATTCCACCGAAAACAGACATGTACTTGGGGCTGGAGCAGGGGACTTTGCCAAAGAGCTAACAAAAGCTCCAAGGCAGAGCCCTGGCAAGGTAAGGCAGCTGGTGAGTAACCCGGGGAAGTGGGCGCAACCTCTGCCCTCCCCACCCCTTTTCCAAACTCTTCTCCTTGATAAATCCACATGCAGCCTTCCATTTTGAATATTTTAATTAGAAAGGTACAAAACATCACGGTTCTTTATACAAATTTTGCATTAAAATAATTTAACAAAACGCAAAGCAGTGTTTAGTCACATCTTTAGCTATCTTTCCATAGCTCATTACCTTCTCGTGATTCAAACCAGAGACCGTTTTGTTTTTTTTTCATTTATAGCTCAAGAAAAAATGTTTAGGTATATAAACAGCCCTAGATGTTAAAAGAAAAGGCAGAGGGGCCAGTGGTAAGCTATTTTTGTGCTTGACTACTTCAAAAGAGCTGTTATTTTGGTCAGCCTGAAAGAAAAGGTGCTTTGGAAATGAGAACGGCATCTCCAAGGTAAACTGAGGCATATAGTGAGGAGTGTGTTTGTGCGTGGGCATGATGCATGAATCAGAGCAGGCATGTCTCCAGTGCCAATGATATCTTGGGATCATAAAGTAGATCCATTTGTCCTTTGAGGACAGCTCATCTGCTCAGGCCAAGAATGGAGAACTAGTCTTCCATGTGCAACAGAGGCCCATTTCAGCCGTCCCATCCTGCAGACGCTCACTTAAGCAAGAGGATAAACCTTCTGGACTGCGTGTCATTCTGCTAATGGCCAGGCCAGATTAGGTGGCCTAGGCGAGCATCCCCTTTATCCCCTCACTGCACCTTGTGTGTCCTCCCCAAAGCCGCTCACTCTGATCGGCACCCTGTTCCTCCATCAAGGGAAATACAAGTAGCTGGGTTTCCCGCTGGCCCTCCAAATAAACTCTGTCCTTGTTGGCGTTGGCAGCGAATACCAACAAGAGCTCCTCTGTCACCCTCGTCCTTTTCGAGAAGGGGGAGGGCTGTCAAGAACGAGGAGTGGCAAGTGTCCCGGCTGTTGGAGGAGGGCCAGAGAGAAAGAGACTGTGGTTACAATCCTTACTTCCCCCACTGTTGCTGAGGGGATTGTGAACGAAACAGCACGGTGGCTGAAGCCTGCTGTTCCAGGGGCCACAGACAGGGCGAAAGGCAGGGCAACAAGCCAGCCACAGCAGGGCAGGGAATAAGGGCCGCTCAGCTGAGCTGATGACAGACGACTGTCTGTTAGACCAGGGGCAGGTGGATGGTGCTCATGTCCTGGAGTCGCCCACCCGCACACGTGTGCGTGCATGTGCTCTCGAGCGCTCCCCTTCTCTCGCTCCCATTCGCCCCTTCAAGGCCTCTCAGTGCTGGAAACCAAAGTTCTGAATGGGAAATTTAGATGCTCAGGAGTGGAAAGTGCTACTGATTTGCGTATCTCTCACAAGAGAGCCCTGAAAAGAGTAAAATGTGGTTTACAATAGTGGGAAGAAATGCAGAGCGTGTTTCTCAGTTCAAGAGAGGAAAAGTCTTTGCTTGACCAGAGATGGGACTCTTTCCAAGAGGTCTGAACTGATTGTAGTTTTCTCCTGAAATTCAAGCCTAAGGCAAAAAAAAAAAAAAAAAAAAAAAAAGCAAATTATAGCCTTCCGGAACCCTTGGATGTTTCCACAAACTAGTCCCTGATGAGTCTGTAGGTGCTTAGAAGATACGGATTTGTGTAGAGAAAAATGAGAAAGGATTGTCCTTTGTCTCTGGTAGGAAAAGTACACACACCGGCATATGTCCACAGGCTCTTGGCAAAAACTTAAGATGGCAGTTCTCAGAAGACAACAATGAGGTAGCCAGGATCCTGCTTAGTTCTCAGAAATGGTCTTCTTATGATAAGTGCTCCTTATACACTTCTCCCTGGGGCATGACTGTGACAGGGATCGTGGTCACCACCTGATTTTGAAACACAAATCTTTTGATTCTTTCAAACACCCACAGGAAGATAAGCAGGATACTGACATACTGGATCCAGGCAAACTTTATCATTTCCCAGAATCCTGGGAGATATGTATAGAGAGTTAAGGAGTCACAGATGGTATTTTCTAAGGGCAAGTTAAAGGTTTAGCTTAGAAGGG